GGGAGTTTGCAAACGCTAGCACATGTTGACATGTATACCGATAGGACCAGTTCATTTTGTAATCCTACCAATGGGATAGTACATTGGTTATTACTGAAACTGACGCTTGCCAGTGGGAGTTGTTAAACACTGGCCATAACTTATAGATGAGACTACTACTGAATCATCTTCTGCATTAACGGTTTATCATTGAACGCTTTGTTATTAACTTATAGATGAGACTACTACTGAATCTTATTCTGCATTAACAATTTATCATTGAACACTTTGTTATGTTAAATTGTTTATCAGGCATGCTTAAATTTTACTCACGGGCTATCCATATTTTTACTTACTGAGATATCTTATCTCGTAGTTTTCCTTATCCACCATTTCAGGGAATGAGACCCGAGGCACGGTTAACCAGGAGGAGTGACGAGCTAGAAGGCTAGTCAGTATTTTGGACTTAGATCCTTTTTGGACTTAAGCCGTTAGCCACACATGCTTGACATAGATGTAAAATGATTAATCATTTTTTTGTATATTGAGTTTCCCTTGGTTATAGCCATTACTGTCTTATAAACTTTTGTACATCTTGAATAGTAAATTTTGGTAATGGAAAGCTAGATATTAACCAAGTTTTTTATTTATGTAAATTGGTAATTATAAACACAGTAGGTTCCAAGCCTTGTGCATTTGTGAGACCCGTTTACAAGTGCACGGTGTCTGTTTCGCTCCTGATTTTAGGGCATGACACTAAAAATAGGGATAAGAAAGGTAATGATCTTTTAGTAGAACTTATAGCTTGTAAGACGGCCAAATAAAAGAGACAGGAAGAAAAAGCGAATGATGAGAGAGATAAGAAAGAGGAACTAAATAAGAGAGAGATTGTCACACCCCAAAACTCAATTTCGAGGCGCGACAGACGCCGTACACTCGTGAGAAGGTCCCACAAATGCACAAGACTCGAAATTTATCCAATTCACATCTGACAATCCAATAGCTTAAATCAAATATCTCAAAATAATTCTATGTACAACATGACTTAAGCTCAAGTAATTGATCTAATGACCGAAATCTGTTTTGATCTCATAAATTCAACGTAAAATCTATCTTACAAAAGCATGATTTATTTCTAAAATCTATATCAATCTCGAAATGGCTAGCCTTCTAATTCGCCACTTCCCGTGGGTTGTCCTCAGTTTCGCTTCGTGAAATGGTGGACAAGGAAAACTATGAGATAAACTCAGTAAGTAAATATGGAGTGCTCCATATTAAACTTATAGCATGCCAACATGTGCAATTACGAAAAACGGATACAGTACGGGAACGAAATAGACGTCTCCTCTATAGGTCACGGCCAGTGTTATAAACCTCCCACTGGCAGGCTACACTTGAACGAACCGGTTCTATCAATAACATGTCGACATGTGCTAGCGTTTAACCCCCACTAGCAGGATCATTAATAACATAACTACATCGGAGACAAAACAGACAGAAATTAACAGAAAAATCATAATTCACCAATCACTTTCAAATCATCAGGATAATCAATTAAATTTCAAGTAGGCATGCTCAATTTATGAAAAGTATAAAAATTTCACTTCAAATCAATCATACTTGTGTAAAACAGGTTTAGTCCCGCTATCACTTCAAAAACAAATCAACATGTTTTTAAAAACAGTACGGGCATTATCATAAATTTACTTACCTCACTCGCATAAAACCAAAGACTCGATCTCAGTGCTAAACTGACAGAACGATCAGGAACCTAATCAAAATATTCCAGAATTAATACTATACTATCACAAATTCAAAGTGAAACTTCATTAGGACTATCCCTAATCACGATCCTATTCCTATCAATCTCCACATTTGTTCTTATATCACAAACTAAACATTTAATCCCGTTGATTGTTGACCCTTGGTGTGTGAACAGTAATCTGTGAACAGTGCCATGAACAGTAACTGCACTTCCAAAAATTTGCCAAAACACTAGCTAATTCACGGGATTTTCTCCAAAAATCACACAGCAGTCAATTAACACTCAATCATATAAATCCCACTTGAATTAATGCTTAAATTTGTCCTAAAGCTACCGGAATTCCTCCCCATTTTTCTGTAATATTCGGACATCACAGGGGCAGCCACTACATGGATAATTCAACAACTAATGGATGATTTTAGGCTCAAAGGGGGTTGTCACATACCATAAATCCAGCAAGCAAAACCGGAGTGCAGATTGGGGGAAGAGGCCGGCGGCAACTGCAGGGGGAATTCACGCAATCTACCAAAAATTGAAGGAACCAAGAGCAATTAAGGTAAACCCAAGGCAATTAAAGCTGGAAAAGGGAGATTCATGGCTGTTTCTTACCAGAAAATCAAAGCAATTCGCCCCCACAAAGCAGGACCAGCCGGCGGTGAGGAGCAGAGCAAGGCAGATCCGAATTTCTGCAGAGAGGGGGGAAGGTTTCAAGGCTCCAAATCTGGTTTTTGAACAAGAAAAGGAAGGCAAAACCAAGCTTTTCCTACCGGTTTCTCAAGGCTGGTGCCGGCAGCTTGGAGGGGCTTTCGGGAAGCTGCAGGGGACGGGAGCAGAAACGTGCAAGGCTGAAGAAAGAAAGAAGAAAAAAATACCGGGTCTTTATCCAATTATTTTCCCTCTTTAAGTCCCTCAAGTTTGGACATTTTAGCTATTAACCCTAAAACAATATTTTTTCACAATTTAGTCCTTAACTTAATGCTAAAATATCATAAAATTTTGGGATATTACAGAGATTAAAAGAAAAAGTGAGTGGTGTGAGAGATAGGAAAAAAAGGACAATTCAAGATTTTTATTTTAGATTTATTTAGGTTATTTGATACAAGCAAAGATTTGGTCTATTTCCTAAAAGTGCAATGGTTTTATTTGATATTAAACCTAAAAATTGAGGTGTTTGTGATGTGGTTTGGTTCAGATTTAATATTTTTTAAATCAATCCAATTTAATCAGTTAGTAAAATTTGTAAATCAATCTAATCCACTATTATATTCTAACCAAATGAATCCAATTTAAATCGGATCGGTGTGGTTCAATCGAATTGATCAATTTTTAACACTATTAAATATATAAGATAATATAAAAAATTTTAACATTAAGTAGAAAACATAACTATAAAATACATTAACATCAAAACCACTAAAAACATAATAAAATGCACAAATTATAAATAAGTTAGGCAAAACCATAAGTTAAGCCCCTGAACTAATCCTAGAATCGCTATTAAACCCCTAAACTTTAATTGATGCAGTTAAGCCCTTGAACTCTGGGATCAAAGCAATTAAGCCCTTCTTCTCACGCTATTAAGCTCCTAGACTTTAATTTTTAAAATGAATTGCTTAAGAAGAAGGGCTTAATTGCTTTGATCCCAGAGTCCAAGGGCTTAACTGCATCAATTAAAGTCTAGGGGTTTAATAGCGATTCTGGGATTAATTCAGGGGCTTAACTTATGGTTTTACCAATAAGTTATTATACTCATTTACAATTGTAAAGATTGAAAAGAAATGAAAATTCTTCTTAGCTACATTACCAAAGGCACCAAGGATAATAAAAGATAACTTTAAGTTTTAAATATAGTGCAACTAATTCTTAAAGGTTAAAACTAATTTTTTTTTTCTTAATGCGTCAAACGATTAAATCCCATCTTTCAAACCCTGTTAAAGCAAATAAAATTTAACATGAATGTCATTAGGAATGTTCATAATTAAGATTTAAAACTCCTAAACCAAACATCCAAGAATAGTAGAATATCAAAATTAGTTTCATTATATAGTTTTTCTTTTGGTATTAACCTCTCAGTATCTAACAACCCCATTGGGTTTCGATTGATTTAGAATCGAGTCACGTTAAACTTCATAAGGGGGAAAGCTCTCTCGGTGCCTTTTCTTCCATTCACAAGATTTAAACTCAAAATCTTACTTAAAGAGAACTGAGTTCCTTCCACTTGGACCAACAAGTCATTGGTTTATTATATTATTTAGTTTTAAGATTTCTAGAATAATACTTCTTAAAGTTTAGTTAGGAGAATCAAAATATTATTTTAAGAACAAATTAAAAATTTAGGGTTCTAAAAATAGAGTCATAGACCAATTCTAAGAAATAGAGTTGCAAGTGAATTGAAAATTTAGAATTAGTGTTAGAGTACACGATTCAGAAAGAAAAATAAATTAGAGAATATGGGAGATTCTATTTTTATTTTTTAATTAAGTTAATGGAGTCATCATCTTGTAAAATAAGAAAAAATTTTAAAATATGACAGAAAATATACTATATTATTTAATTAAATTATCTTATAATCGAATTTTATTTTGTAATCCGATAGTTTGGACAGTGTTGACTCAATGTACTCTAAGAGGGGGTGAATTGGAGTTGAAAAAGTTTTACCTCTTTGCAACCACCAAACAAAAATCAAAGAGAGAGTAGGGAAAAAGAGCTTGCACAATGATTTTATAGAGGTTCGGTCTAACCACTTAGAACCTAATCCTCTACCTTGGCTTCACTCACCAATGATTTCCTCCACATTTTCCACTATCAAGAATAAGGGTAGCTTAAAAGAGCCACTTAATCCTTTTACAAGAAAATGAGTATTTCTCTCAAATCTCACTCATTTACAAGATAAACCCAAACAATCCTCTCTACAAATCACTTTTGAAGGAATAATCATGCCCCCAAGATCACTCACAAATAGAATCAGAAGAGAATTACAAGTAAAGATCTCTCAAAGATAAAAAAAACTCAAGTTAAAGCATAAGTCGGTAGGTAAAGATATTTAATGCAATACTCTAAAACTTGTTCCAAATTTTCTACCAACCATATTTATAACCCCATGATAAAAAATAACCGTCACTAGCCGTTGGGGGTCATTAAATGCTCTGTAGGTCGCTTAATTGGAGTTGTAGAATTGTCAACATAGTCGGCTTACAATTCTAGAGCTGGCTCCACAGCCGGCTTAGGAAATTTGCAGCCAGCTTTGCAGGTTTCCTGCATATTCAGTTTTCTTGGACAGTTGACTACAAAACGTAAAGTCGATTTTGGGATTCTGGTTTTAGGATTCCAACTTTAAAAATATTAATTAATCTTCAAATAACTCGACCGTTGTGCAGTAAATGCGCCTTTATAGCCGACTGCAAAGTCAGAGCCGGCATTACATCTGTTTTCTGCGCGCGCCAAACTACGAACTTCAAATTTTCACCCATAGAGTCGGCTGTAGCTTCTAGAGCTGGCTCTTTACAATTTTACCTTCTAGAGTCGGCTACCAATTTTCTTAAGCCGACTCTCTGCACATTTCCAACCTTTTCGTCCATTTTTAATGCAGTCCAAGTTTACTTACTTTGCAATCTTTTGACAATTTAACTATACACTTAAATGAACCAATTAGTCACTTAAATGTGTTTTGTAATCATCAAAATCATAGGTACAACAGATAGTTTAAAGGTAAAACCACAACCCAAATCAATTATATCGGTTTTAAAATTCATAATCCAAACCAACTCAATTTTAGATCAGTTTGATTTGGTTTTTTTATTGAATTTGATATATTTAGGTCGGATCAATTGGATTGGATCGGATATGAACACTTCTACCTAAAAAAAATAGTTCTTTTTTTCCTATGTTTTTGAGTTCTTTTTTTCTTGATTTTCACTTAACCAAAAAAGGGGAAAAAAAAAGAGAAAAAGGGGAAAAATTATGATATTCTCCCTTAATAGCTAATTCAGCAAATAATTCTATCCATCAATGGATCATCAGACAAATATAAAGTATAATAAAAACTTTAACTAGCTTCTTTGGTTTAGAGGCTCCTCAGATATTGATGAGGATATTATAACCTATATACAAATATATATATATATATATATATAAAATGCTACCCTATGCATTAA